CCCTTGTTGGACTCTGGAGAGGGGAAGAGGAAGGGAGATCCCAAGGTGAAAGTTAAGGGAGAAAGTAAGGTAGGGAGAATGGAAGCAGATGAGATTTTAAATGATGAAATGTAATATATTTTAGTTTCTTTGTATCTAGAATACAGTAAAGGGAGATGAATTATTGGAACTGTTATTATCATCAGTGTGGGCTGTGGGTCTAGAATCTAGATTTGATGTCCCTGTCTTTGAATATCATTGGCTGGGGAGAAAGGGAAGATGAAGAAAATTAGTACATTCATGCAGTGTGTTTATAAGACTTTGACATGGCACTAAAATAAATCAAACTCTTTTAAGAAAAGGGTAGGCCCAGGAAACATTGGCTTAGTTGGTGGAGAACTTTTTTGTTCTCTGCGAATAAATGAACAAAATTGCATTAGCACAGGGAAATGAGGTTGGAGACTGAAAAAAAATTCTCTGAAACCTTAATGTTGGAGAAGCGATACATATTAGGGAAGACAAATTGATAGCTGGGTTTTGTTAAAACACATTTCCTATCTCTGATTACAAATTGTATTTCACTACTGGCAACTCTTTGAATTTATTGTGCCGAAATTTGCTTAATCACAGAATACATACGCTCTTCTTTTTGTAGGCGGCACTCCCCCTATCGCACACTGGAGCCAGTGCGTCCTCCAGTGGTACCAAATGATTACGTACCTAGCCCAACCCGTAATATGGCTCCCTCGCAGCAGAGCCCTGTGAGGACAGCTTCTGTGAATCAAAGAAATCGAACTTACAGGTATTTCCTCTACCTCAGTGCAAAATGTGGTCTGAGTACCATAATCTCTTCAAATAACTTCAGTTAAATCTCTCTCATTTTCCAAGCACTAAGTTCTTTTCCTCACTCTACTCTCCCAAACCTCATCTGTTTCCACCTCTCTCTCCTCATGTTCTGATGCAACTTTGAGCAGTCAGGAAGTTGATAAAAGAATAGTTACATCAAAGTGCAAACTTCTTTTCAAGTTTAATATTCAGTCCATCTGAAAAAAAAAAATGGGCCAGATGTGGGAAATTTTGAGTTGTTTTTTGGTGGAACTTTACAGATGAAAAACTATATATAATAAAACATTAATATGAGCTAGTATATCAAGATTATCATTACAAATAAAATCAGTCTGTTTAGGAGAACGTTTTATTTTAAAAGAAGTTTCTTCAGACAGACATTAGAGTTTAAGAAGAAAATATTAGTGATTTTGATATTTTGAGCCCCAACATTTATGACATATTTATGGGGAATTTTTTCTTTTTCAGTTTCTTTATTACATGCTTATTAAAAGGTGGTTAAAAAAGCTTACTGAACTCAGCTTTCTCCGAACTTACTAAGACACATTTTAAGTGGAAGGCTTTTAAATGATCTCTGTTGTAATTGTTTTCATTTCAGAAAGTTTTGGAAAGTGCTGATGATTTCGCTCTGTGGATAAATGCTCATGCTTTGGTGGCTCTTGTTTCTTTAGCAGCAGTGGGAGTAGTGGAGGAAGCCACCCAAGTAGTCGGAGCAGCAGTCGGGAGAACAGTGGAAGTGGGAGTGTGGGGGTTCCTATTGCTGTTCCTACTCCATCTCCTCCCAGTGTCTTTCCAGGTAAAACCGAAATAGTGCTTCATCTTCCCTTTTTCTTTCCGAATTTGAACTCAACTTGTGAGTTAATTATGGTGAACTTGACTCATAATCAGGATTTTCTTTTTCCCTTTAGGACTCTGTAAATGTTGGGTATTACAGTCTTTATACATTTATAATTTTTCACCAAGTGATTTTAAGTTTTTGCTCACTTTGCACTTGTCTTTATTTGGTTGTATGCCTTTGGTGCCGTGGCTCAGTTGGTGCTTTGAGGTTTCCGGAACCCCTGTGGTGTGAGTTACGTGTTTAATTCCAGCTAGTGTTGTGACAGTGGATGTCTTTGGACAGTGTGACCTCAATATGAAAATCATGTTGGTAACAAAGGATTGGGCAAATATAAAAGTAGTTTTGACAGTTAAATTTAGTGAAACTTGATAGTCTCTGAGAAAAGCATGCCTATTTGATCTGTGGACACACAAGGTTAAAATTTAGATTTCAAAGCATGATGTAAAAGATGTAAGGATAGCATAGTATATATTTAATTTACATATAGCAACAAATAGCTAATACATTTTAAGAAATTATGGGAAAGATTTGTATTAATTTTTTTTTGCTGGATATTGTTTGGAATAGGAATCTGTTTTTGGATTTGTATGATTCAAAATAGAATGCCATTTTTAGAAAATGTGTTATGTTTAATTTTGTATACTGTTTATAGAATGTTATGCTAAAAATAACAATATAAAAGGATCACTTTTCCTCCAGGCTAGTGGTTTTCAGGTAAAAAGGAATGTGTTCAGTGATAAAATCTATATGTTTCCCTGAGCATCTTGAATTATTTGCTGCTGACCCAGTAATCCTTTAACATAAGCTTCATTCTCTTTTTCAACTCTCTATTCTTTTGGTTAGTGTTAAGTAGTGAATGTCTAACATGAAATACTCTAAAGCCTTTTCTAATCTGCCTTTGTGACTGCCTCG